CAGACCATTGTGGATTCTGTTAATGTTTTAGGGGGTAGATAGAAACAGTATAAAGAATAAAATATATTTTGTTATAAAACTTCTCACAGAGCAAATAATGCCATCTTCTTCCTTCTAGCAATTTCACCCGGCAGCCTCACTTGGCAGGCACACAGGAGAATTTGCATCTAGCTGAACAGATACAAGCAAACTGGAAGGCCTTTGGCCTAGACTCGGTCCAACTGGCTCCTTATGATGTTCTGCTTTCCTACCCCAATGAGACACGTCCTAACTACATCTCACTCATTGACGAGCAGGGCCAAGAGGTAAAGGAGAGGGGCTGGATTGTGAATATGGAGTAGGTTTCACAACCTGATACACTAGGCTAATATGAGGTTATGTAGCGAGGTACCTCAACTTATGACTATATGTGGGACTAGATTTCCATTGCTAAGTGATGCAATCATTAAATGATTGATCACATGACTGGATTCAACTTTGCAACCATATTTATCATGGCAGTTGAGCAAATCACACATAGTTTCTAAGTAATGAAATGGTATAGGGTTTCCTGCCTGAGCAGGGGGCTGGACTAGAAGACATCCAAGGTCCCTTCCAACTCTGTTATCTTATCCTATCCTATCCTATCCTATCCTATCCTATCCTATCCTATCCTATCCTATCCTATTCTTTCCATTCTGTATTTCTATTTTACTCTACTCTACTCTACTCTACTCTACTCTACTCTACTCTGTATTTCTTTTTTACTCTACTCTACTCTTCTGTTCTGTTCTGATTTCCATTCTGTATTTCTATTCTATTCTGTTCTGTTCTACTCTATTCCTATTCTATTCTATTCTTATTTCCATTCTGTATTTCTATTCTATTCTATTCTATTCTATTCTATTCTATTCTATTCTATTCTATTCTATTCTATTCTATTCTCATGGTTCTTAAACAAATCTGTCTTCCCCATTGACTTTGCTTGTCAGAAGCTGGCTGGGAAGATCACAGTTTGTGATCACGTGACTGAAGGATGCTTCAAGAATTGTAAATGTAAGCCAGTTGCCAAATGCCCAAATTACAGTCAGGTGACTGTAGGGGTGGTGTGACAATTGGAACTGCAGGGATGGGTTGTAAGTCATTTTATTCAGCACCATGATAACTCTGGCCTTTAAATGAATGGTCAGAAATTGAGAACTACCTGCAGTTCAAAATTAAGTGTGTTGTGAGAATCATTGCATTGCCTTAAAGATTACATGAAGCCACCATAGAGAATATTTGGGCATTGTATGTCAGACAAACACAACCATTTTTTTTTTTTAGAGTTTCGCTAAATTGGCTTCATTTTGATGGGCCCTTGGCAAATACCTTTCTTAAATGAATTTCCATCCCCTTCCTCAACCTTTGCCCACACCGAAGTTGGATATATCAGATGTTGTTTTTTATATGCCATTTCCCCCCCTTTGTGGCTCCTGAACTATCTAGATTTTCAACACATCGCTATCTGAGCCTGTTCCTGCAGGATATGAGACCATTGAAGATATTGTGCCTCCCTATAGTGCCTTCTCAGCCCAGGGTCAGCCAGAGGTAAGGATTAAAAGGCATTTGGGGCGGCATTCAGACCTGGCAAGGCTCTAGGAAAATACTACTACAGTTGTGTCAGGAGCACTGAAACGCTTCCGGGTTGAAAGGATTAGCCTGTGACATCACCGCTGCCTGGGGGATGCCCAGATGAGGGCCCCTTTCATGTCCCCATTATATTGCCCACTGAAGTGGTACCCATCTATCTACTCGCAGTCACCCTGCTGCATCGGCAGGAGCTGGAGCAAATGACGGGAACTTACCCCATCATGTAGCAGCAACTGGGTCTTGAACGTTAGCTTGCTGATCGTTAGTCCAGCATCCTAACCACATGAACCACTGCACTCCCTCTGCCATAGGAAGATGTAGCAGTTCTATCTGACAAGTGCTAACAGAGAAGATAGACTTATATACTGCCTCACAGTGCTTTACAGCCCTCTCTAAGCGGTTTACAGAGTCAGCCTATATGCCCCTAACAATCTGGGTCCTCATTTTATCCACCTCAGAAGGATGGAAGGGCTGAGTCAACCTTGAGCTAGTCAGGATCAAACTGCTGGAGTGAGCAGTGAGTTAGCCTGCAGTTCTGCATTCTAACCACTGTGCCATCACAGGTCTTAACAACTTAACACAGTATAACAACTGATTGTGGCATGGATGCCCCCAAAAGGCATCCTAAAGCTGTGAAGGAGTGGGCAAGAACCCACCTTAAACAGAAGGAGTGAAGGCATGAAGAAAGAAAGCATATCTGGATCTATCAAGCTATCGAGGATCACACAGGAGCCATATAAGAAGGCTTAATTTACAGTGGTGTTTTTATATGAAATTATAATAAAACACATTCATTCATTCATTCATTCATTCATTCATTCATTCATTCATTCATTATGAAAACAATTCTGAAATATTGAGAAGGCTCTTTGCGACTTGGATGTCCAAAGTTAGCTTGTTTAGCTTAGGCCAGGGGTAGGTAACCTTGGCTCTTTTACGACTTGTGGACTTCAACTCCCAGAATTCCTGAGCCAGTCATGCTGAGGGGAAAGGGAGAGGTTTCCAAACTGAGCCATGCTGGCTCAGGAATTCTGGGAGTTGAAGTCCACAGGTCATAAAAGAGCCAAGGTTGCCTACTCCTGGCTTAGGCCTAAATCCATCTCTAATGGGACTTGCCTAGGTGTTATGTATGAATGTTCTTGCATTATGTAGCCCTTTCCCTTTAGGCATTTCTGTAGTTTGGAATAGGAGTCCCTAATTTTTTACAGTTATTAGGTATATTTGGGGAAATGTAAGAGATATTTTGGGGGAAAAATGGGCTGTTTGTCTATGGGCAGAGCCCACAAAAGATCAATTTATAGGATGCCAATTGGTGAAGTTTCTTCTTGTGTTTTCTTTCCATTTATGGTTGACTTGATTGTCACAGGCTGAGATGGAATCCAAGGTAAAATTAAGAAGTACCCAGAATCTGATGCAAAATGGCATTTTCCTTTTTAATTTTATTTAAAAATAATTTATTTTTAATTATTAGATATTTTATTCCACCTTTTTATGTTATAAGTAACCCAAGGCAGGGAACGTACTGAATTCTCCTGCCTCCTCCTATTTTCCCCACAATAACAATCCTGTGAGGGGAAAATAGGAGTGACTTGCCCAAAATCACCCAGTTGGCTTTCACATTTAAGATGGGACTAGGTTTCATGCCTAATGTTGGACTAGAACTCACGGTCTCCTGGTGATTGGCCCAAAGTCACCTAGCTGGCTTTCATGGCTAAGGTGGGACTGAAACTCACCATCTCCCAATGCCTTAACACCAGACCAAAATGGCGCTTATTTTACTTTAGATCTTCAGATAATGAAATGAAATTAAATTAAAATTAAGATTTACTTACTTTAAGATTGTAATCTTACTAAAAACAACCTAACAAGTAGAGGAGGTAAATAAGAGATCTACAGGCACTTTAGTTAGTGTTTATGACATTAACCCAAGACAGCAATAACCCAAAGACAATTTTAAGTGATTAAATTTGAATCACACACACACCAGTCTATTTAGGATGGATTTGGGGCAACGGTTTATAACAGAACTCAAAATTAAGCAGTGCTGAACCTGGATAATCTTGAATGAGAGACCACTTACTGTCTCATCCAAGTATTAACCAGGCTAAGTGAGGCAGTAGGTGGTCTCGTATTCAAGATTCAAGAGTCAGCACTATTTAGCTTCTCAGTGGCAAAGGGATATAATTAACAATGTTTTTCTTATTTACTGTTATTAGAAAGATTTAAAGTAGACAAAAGGGTTTGTGGTTTTGAACACTGTAAGACCGAATTGGAAACAGAATTGTGTACAAATGATGAACGTATAATTGCTAAACTGTATAAACTTTTATTGAAATTTGAAATAGGAACAAATGAAGAAAAGCACAGTATAGTATAGGGTAGGCCACCTTGGCTCTTTTATGACTCGTGGACTTCAACTCCCAGAATTCCTGAGCCAGCATGGCTCAGCTTGGAAACCTTTCCTTTTCCCCTCAGCATGGCTGGCTCAGGAATTCTGGGAGTTGAAGTCCACGAGTCATAAAAGAGCCAAGGTTGCCTACCCCTGTGGGTGCACTTTGCAACTTCCTCACTTCATTGGTGTGTGTTGTTAATACACCTTTTGTATTCCAGGGAGATTTGGTGTATGTGAATTATGGCAGAATAGAGGATTTCCACAGATTAGAGCGAGAGATGGGAATTAATTGTTCCGGGAAAATTGTCATTGTCAGATATGGGAAGATCTTCAGAGGAAATAAGGTAAGAGATTATGAGCTTTGCCTTTCAAGCATGAGAGGAACGCTTACAAGAAACCGAAAAATGATTAGGGGACTGGAAGCTAAAACATATGAAAAATGGTTGCAAGAATTAGTTAAGTCTAATTTAATGAAAAGAAGGTATAGGGGTGACATGACAGCTGTCTTCCAATATCTAAAGGGCTGCCTCCGAGAAGAGGGGGTAAGCCTATTCTTCAAAACACCTGAAGGCAGGACAAGAAGCAACGGGTGGAAACTAATCAAGGAGAGAAGCAACCTAGAACTAAGGAGAAACTTCCTGACAGTTAGAACAATTAACCAGTGGAACAACCTGCCTCCAGAAGCAGTGAATGCTCCAACACTGGAAGTTTTTAAGAAGAGACTGGACAGCCATTTGTCCAAAATGGTAGCGGGTTTCCTGCCTGAGCAGGGGGTTGGACTAGAAGACCTCCAAGGTCCCTTCCAACTCTGTTATTCTATTATATTGTTCTGTTAGTCAAACTATGGATTTTTTTTTTTAGCTAGATGAATAAAATTATTTAGTTCACCAATCATTTTTAATTCCTAGGTTAAGAACGCTTACCTGGCTGGAGCCAAAGGCATCATTTTATACTCGGATCCTGCTGATTCTTGTGCTCCTGGAGTTCAGCCTTACCCAGATGGCTGGAATCTGCCAGGAGCTGGAGCCCAACGTGGAAATGTCCTCCTGCTGGATGGTGCTGGGGATCCTCTCACCCCAGGGTATCCAGCTAAAGGTGACCAGAAAAGAAGCCTTCTAGGGATGCATCCTAAAGTAGGCACAACCTGAGGTTCAAATACTTATGAGAACAGTATCCTAAGAAAATAGCACTTGATTGTGTAGTCTTTATTTGTTGAACTGATATAATTGAGACCATCTCGCCGTGGCCAACTCTCTGAGGGACAATTCCATGTGGGATAACTCAACGCAATAAATGTTATCCACCACTGTTTCTTTGACATTATTTCCATTGACAAAAATGGAAATAATGTTAAAGAACAGTGGCAGGTAACATTTAGCGTGTATAGTTATCCCACATGGAATTGTTCCATTGTGAGTTGTCCCCTGCCAAGTTGGCAATGGAGAGTTGTCCCAGAACAAGTTGGCCGTGGTGAATTGTCCCACAATGAGTTGCCCACTGTGAATTGTCCCAGGATGAGTTGTCCCAGGATGAGTTGGCCACAGTGAGTTGTCCCACAATGTTGGCTGAGGTCAAAACATTGGAGAACACCAGAGTGGGAAAAAGAAGTGTAGTGAATACAGAGAAAAAGATTCAACAAGAATAGAATCACATGAAATGGCAATACTCAGAGGGTAACCGCCATAGGGAATAAACAGTAAGTAGGGTCATACCTGGTTATTACTGGGACAGGAGAACCCCAAGAAGTTCTAGAAATGAGAGCCAAAATGGAACTTTGGAACAAACACCCTAGAGCAGTGATTCTCAACCTGTGGGTCGGGACCCCATTTGGAGTCGAACGACCATTTCACGGGGGTCGCCAAACAAGGCTGTCCGCCATTCCCCCCCCCTTTTCTTTGGCCATGCCCCTGGCACCCAGTGATGTATAAGTGGTTGGGGGGGTCACCACAGCATGGGGAACTGTATTATGGGGTCGCGGCATTAGAAAGGTTGAGAACCACTGCCCTAGAGGAAGATAAGAGCAAATCATGTTCATGTTATATTGCTGAGAACACCATGTGGATTTGTCCGTCCGGTCACTTGCTCCAAGTCCACTGTCCCAAGGAGTGTCATTTTGCAGACTCTTCAGAAATGTGGTTTTTCAGCTATAGTCCTATTGTTAGTAGATGTCTTAATGGCGATAATACTTAGATTTATATGCCACTTCACAGTGCTTTACAGCCAGTGGTGGAATTCAACCAGTTCGCACCGGTTCGGCAGAACTGGTAGTTAATTTGAGGCTGAGTTTTGCTGAGTTCAGAGAACTGGCTGAATGGAAACTGTCCAGTCTAGGCCTAGAAGGAGACCCGCCGGAAATTTGTGGATGCTACTTCTGGAAGTCCGTTCTAGGCCTTGGAGGCCCAGGCCTGCATCCAATAAGAGAACTGGTTGTTCAGGTATTTCAATTTCACCACTATTTACAGCTCTCTCTAAGCGGTTTACAGAGTCAGCATATTGCCCCCCACAATCTAGGTTCTCATTTTACCCTCAGAAGGATGGAAGGCGAGTCAACCTTGAGGTGGTGAAGATCGAACTGCTAAACTGCAGGCAGCCAGCAGTCAGCAGAAATAGCCTGCAGTACTGCACTCTAACTATTGCACCACCGTGGTTTAAGCATCTGAAGTGCTCTTTTATGTTATGTTTCTGAAGTGCCTGCATTTGACAGTCCTTGAGATATAATATATGGGGCAAGTCTACCCCACTGCAACCTATTGGGAGACAGAGAAAAGATGACCTTGCAGTTATCCAAGCCTTTAATCAAGTATGGTTTTAAAGGTGACAATCAGCCTCTTGAATTGTCCTCAGGATATAGCATAGTAATTGGTACCGTTCTTATTTTAGAATATGCATATCGCTTGGAAGAAGCTCAAAGTGCAGCAAACTTAAATATTCCTGTCCACCCCATTGGTTATCACGATGCTGAGAAGCTGCTAAAGTAAGTCCAAATGATACAATCATTATATCACTCTCAGTCACTAAATTGTGGAAGTTGGTTGTAAATTTCAAATGGTCACTATGTGACCAGCCAGAAATCGGTGTACTACTTGTACTGCTACTGTGTAAGACAGGCGTAGGCAACCTTGGCTCTTTTATGACTTGTGGACTTCAACTCCCAGAATTCCTGAGCCAGCCAGGCTGAGGGAAAAGGGGGAGGTTTCCAAGCTGAGCCATGCTGGCTCAGGGATTCTGGGAGTTGAAGTCCACGAGTCATGAAGGGGCCTTAGTTCCTCCATGCTGGCTCAGGAATTCTGGGAGTTGAAGTCCACGAGTCATGAAGGGGCCAAAGTTTCCCCCATGCTGGGTCAGGAATTCTGGGAGTTGAAGTCCACGAGTCATGAAGGGGCCAAAGTTTCCCCCATGCTGGCTCAGGAATTCTGGGAGATGAAGTCCACGAGTTATGAAGGGGCCAAAATTTCTCCCATGCTGGCTCAGAATTCTGGGAGTTGAAGTCCACGAGTCATGAAGGGGCCAAAGTTTCCCCCATGCTGGCTCAGGAATTCTGGGAGTTGAAGTCCACGAGTTATGAAGGGGCCAAAATTTCTCCCATGCTGGCTCAGGAATTCTGGGAGTTGAAGTCCACGTGTCATGAAGGGGCCAAAGTTTCTCCCATGCTGGCTCAGGAATTCTGGGAGTTGAAGTCCACAAGTTACGAAGGGGCCAAAGTTGCCTACCCCTGGTGTAGGATGTAGAGAAGAGAGGAACGAGGGCAGTAATAGAGCCCTTTTGAAGAAAATTCTCTGCATCGTAGCAAATCTTTATTTTGCAACACCTGCTTATAAAAAATATTCAAAAGAACATGCTGTACAAGGACTTGGTTTTTTTTTCAGCCAATCCATTTTAAATTCCCAAGAGTTGTAACCCTTCTTGTTTCCAACAGGGAAATGGGAGGCGCTCCTGCACCGGATAATATTTGGAAGGGACAGCTTTCCGTGCCTTACAATGTGGGACCTGGCTTTATAGGGATTTCTTCAAAAAGGTGAGGACGCTTTTCACAGAAACTTTGGTAAAACTTGTTAAGAAGTAAATAATAAATGAAATAAAAGGACGGGGAGAAAAGAACACTTTCAGTTTTAGAGTGGGAGGTAATTGAGGGCTTCTAGTTGACCAACCTCTCTCACAAAATAAAGTGAAGCAGCTGCTTGGGGTAATACAGATAACCCTCATTTAGTGACCATTTGAATTATGACCCCCCTCCCCCCCCCAGCTTCAAAGTGGTATCCATGAAGTTCCAATGGCTGCTCCTCCCATGGCAACAGCCTGCATTTAATTTGTTCACACGAAAAATATTTATGATATTTTTGCTGAAACAGTAAAAGTAAACAGTGTTTACTTCTGAGTTTTAGGCAAAATGCCCCATAGCAAACAATGGATTTGCTTAATGACCACGGTGTTCAATGAACTACACCTCTAAAAGTGGGTAGTAAAATCAGTGTGGTCACATGGGTGACTCACTTTGCCACCATCATGTCTTAGGACCATAATGGGCAGGCTCCATTCCTGTCATAAGTTGAGGACTACCTGTAAATGGGAGGAGAAACAAATGAGGTCAGTTCAGTTCCTTTTGTCCTCTCGTTCTTCTAGAAAACCAGATTTTCAGAAGTCCTTAGTATGATTTCTGTGATCACAAAGAGGACTGAAATGCTGAAATGTCCACACAACACCTTAAGCCTGGTTACTACTGTTATGTCCCGAGCCTTGCAAACGGCTCGGGCATTTGCAGGCAGTCCCGGGCAGGTGCAAAGCTGCCCGGGACCAGACAGGCTGTCGCCAGCGCCGTGCGCACGCGCGGGTGCTGGCGCGGGAAAAGTATCGCATTTACCCGGGAAATGTCTATATAAGAAGCTGGGAGGTTTTGGGAGCTGCTGAAGCCATCTACTTGCAAGCTGAACGCAGAATAAAGAAAACTGAGAACTCCAACTGCTTCTCGTGTCTGCTTCCCGCCAAGGACTCAACACTGGCGACGAGGATGGGATTGCCTTACACCGCCTGGAAAGGAAGAAGTGTAAGCTTACCCAAGTGAGTCCTAAGCGGCGGAACGGCGTCGACTCGGCAGCTACCCGCCAATCCAGTGCGCATTCGGGGGTAGGCTGGCTGATAGACCCGTCTCCTGAAGATGGCGAAAATCGGAAGGCTTTCGGAATTCGACGTCTCACATCCAGAGCGGTGGGAGTCATACGTAGCCAGGGTGGAGAACTACTTCAAGGCAAACCAAGTGAGGGAAGAGAGCTTGAAGGCTGCCACCCTGCTTTGTGTTTGCGGTCAAGACGCCTTCGACATCGCAGAAAACCTTGCAGCACCTGTTCCAGTAGAGTCTGTCAGCTACGCAGATCTGAAGAAGCTACTGAAGGAGCACTTCCACCCCAAGATGTCCGTCATCGCATGGCGCCACACCTTCGAGCAGAGGGATCAACGGCCCGGTGAGTCGGCCAAAGAATTCATCGCCGCATTACGGAAGGCCGCCAAGCACTGCGAGTTCAAAGACCTCGAAGAACGACTGAGGGACCGATTCGTGTGTGGGTTAAGGCATCGAGATCTACAACAGAGACTTTTCGCTAAAGAAAAATTGTCCTACCAAGATGCCTTAAGGGAAGTCACCGCAGAAGAAGCAGCAGGCGGTGCTGTCAAGAACATGCGGCCGATCAGAAACAGTCCAGAGGTTGCATCCGTGCACCAGGAAGACGTCCAAAGAAACTCCGAGGAGGATCCGGACGAGGAAGTCGACCGTCTCCACCCCACGAAGGAAGAAAAACAGAAGGGAAGCTCTTCAGCTCCGCTCAAGTGCATCGGCTGTGGAGGTCGCCACAGGAGAACCGACTGCAAGTTCCGCTCCGCTACCTGCCGGGCATGCGGCAAACAAGGACACATTGCAGCTGTGTGTCTGGGCCGACGAAAGGTACAACCTCAGGAAGAACTGCGCCTGAAAGGTACCAGATTCCCCAGCCAGAATAGGGTAGGGTTTTGCGCTTCGCGAAGAAGCATCCTTAGGACAGGCACACACAAGCCCATTAAGAAAAAGCTGTCACTCAAGGTGAAGCTACAAGGGGTTCCATTATCTATGGAACTAGACACAGGGTCTGCCTTTTCAATTATCTCCTTGCATACATTTAGGAAGATTTGTTCCGGTAGTGGAACTCAGGCCAAGTTAAGGCCTTCTGACATTGTGTTAACAGATTTTCAAAATTCAAGAGTGTGTGTTAAGGGGGAGGCCACCCTTAACATGCAATACAAGAGTTTTGAAGGTCCACTAGACTTATTAGTAGTAGGGGGTGAACGAACGAGTCTCATAGGACTCGATTGGTTTGAGGCCCTGGGGATACACGTCACAGGACTCAACAGTTTACAAACACTCGACCTACAGGAAGTCTGCAAAGAATTTGCAGATGTTTTCAGCCCCCAGCTGGGCACATTCAAAGGACCCCCTGTGTCCTTAAAGCTAGACCCCACTGTCACTCCCATTAGAATTAAAGCAAGAAGGGTCCCTTTTGCTTTAAAGAGTAAAATTGACACTGAGTTAGACAAACTGATTCAACAGGGAATCCTAGAACCTGTTGATTCCAGTCCTTGGGAGACCCCCATTGTCACGCCTCTAAAGGCAAATGGGGACATTCGCATTTGTGCTGACTACAAATGCACTCTGAATAAGGCATTGCAGCAACATGCCTATCCTGTTCCTGTGGTCAGTCATATTCTGGCCTCACTCAAGGGGGGGGGTGCGTTTTTGCAAAGCTTGACCTAGCTCAAGCGTATCAACAGCTGCCTGTTGATGATGATGCTGCTATAGCTCAGACTATTGTGACCCACAGGGGAGCCTTTAAGGTAAAAAGGCTACAGTTTGGAGTGAATGTCGCTCCTGGGATTTTCCAAAGCGTAATGGAAAACACACTGCGGGGCATACCGGGGGTTTGCCCCTACTTTGATGATGTCTTAATTGCAGGAGACTCCACACACATTCTAGCTGAAAGGCTAAGGGCTGTTCTGTTAAGATTCAGGAAAACAGGCCTCAAGCTCAAAAAAGACAAATGCAAGATTGGGGTGCCTTCTACTGAATTTCTGGGGTTCAAAATTGATGCTGCTGGGATTCACCCTGCTGAATCCAAACTAACTGCTATTTTAGAAGCACCTAGGCCAAAGTCCAAGGCCGAACTTCAGGCCTTCCTGGGCCTCCTGAATTTCTACAATTCTTTTCTTCCATAAAGCTAGTGTAGCTGAGCCTCTTCACAGGCTACTAGACAAACAAGCAGTGTGGCAGTGGTCACAAACACATGAGGTTGCTTTAACAAAGTCAAGGCCTTGCTCACTTCTAACAGTGTACTTGCACATTTCAACGAGTCCCTTCCTGTGTGCATCGCTTGTGATGCGTCCCCTTACGGGGTTGGAGCTGTCCTGAGCCACCTCAGGTCTGATGGAACTCAGGTTCCTGTTGCATATTACTCCAGAACATTGTCTTCTGCTGAGCGCAACTACGCTCAGATAGACAGTGAGGCTCTGGCTGTTGTTGCTGGAATTAAAAAATTCCATGACTTTCTATATGGCAGGCACTTCACGGTCTTCACTGACCATAAGCCTCTGCTGGGACTGTTTACCACACGTAAGCAGACTCCCCAAATCATTTCCCCTAGAATGCTTAGGTGGTCTATTTTTTGTCTGCATATGATTTTTCTTTACTCCACAAGCCTGGAAAAGAAATGGGCCATCCTGATGGCCTCAGTAGATTGCCTCTGCCAGTAGTAGAAGCTGACCCTGCGCCAGCTGTCAACATTCTATCAATCCAAGCCTTGCCCGAGCTCCCTCTTTGTGCCAGGGATGTTGCCGCTGAAACAGGTACAGATCACACACTTTCACATGTCCGTTCCTGGGTTTTGTCTGGTTGGCCTGAGCACTGCCCTAGTCCTGAGTTTAAGAGTTTCTGGTCCAAAAGGAACGAGCTGTCCCTTTCTCAGGGTTGTCTGCTTTGGGGAAACAGAGTTGTCATTCCCACCTCAATGAGGACTAGGGTCTTAGAATCCCTCCACGAGGGTCATCCTGGCATTGTTCGTATGAAGGCTATTGCGCGCAGCCACTTGTGGTGGCCTGGTTTAGATAAAGATATTGAGGCTAAGGTGCATGCATGCCACCTGTGCCAACGATCTCGCCCAGAGATGCCCCAAGCTCCCGTGCATAGATGGGAGGACACACAGTCCCCATGGTCTAGGGTGCACATTGACTACGCTGGACCCTTTCAGGGCCAGTTCTTCTTGGTCCTTGTTGACAGCCATTCGAAATGGCTTGAGGTTGTACCTGTCTCATCCACCACCACTGCAAAGACTATTCAGGTACTGAGGGGGATTTTTGCTGCACACAGGCTGCCAGATGTCATTGTGTCCGACAACGGCCCTCAATTCACTTCCTCCGAATTCCAAGCTTTCTTACAGGCAAACATGATTCGTCATGCCATGTCTGCACCCTTCCACCCGTCCACCACCGGTATGGCTGAACGTATGGTGCGCATCACAAAGGACGCATTGAAAAGACTCACCTACGGGGACTGGCATCACAGGTTGGCTGACTTTCTCCTTTCTTATCGCACCACACCGTCCACTTCTACAGGGAGAAGCCCAGCTGAACTTCGTTGGGGGCGTCAACTTACTACTAAACTTGACCGGTTGCATCCGGACAGACTGCCTTCATCTACCTCACATCCTAAGGCACCTAGACAACTACTTGTGGGTGCCCTGGTTTGGGCTCGCAATTACGGGCCTGGTCATACATGGATCCCCGCTTCTATTTCGAGGGTCACAGGTCCTCTCTCCTACGAGGTAGCCCTGGACAACGGTCGTGTCCTGCGTCGGCACATCGACCAACTCCGCCCTAGGCGGGACTTTTCAGATGAGACTCCTGGGTCTTTTCCAGGGGGGGAGGGGGACCTTTTGGAGCAAAGGGAAGGGCACGAGCTGCTGCCCATCTCCACTGATGGAGCCACAAACGGCCCATCCCAGGGTTCCGCGAGAGCTCCGAACAAGAATTCTATGAGCCTACCTAATTACCAGGCATCCACGCCTACTCCAGCCAGGGAGTCACCCCGGGGCCATACTCACTTTCCACACACATCAGACAGCACTCCAGTCACGGAGGATACCCGGGGGCATCCCAACAAATCATTCCCCGCAAGAGAGCTGGCACACAATCCCCAAGGTTGGCCTGACCTTACCACAAATTCTACAGGGGGTCAAACATACAGGGAGGTGGTCGAGGAACCAAGTCCCGACTACAACACCTCTAGCCCAAATCAGGGAGTAACTGAGTTTTGGGACAGTACAGAAACCCACACAAGCCCGGACACAGAACGGGGTTCAGGGAATGGTCAGCCTCCTGACAGGTCTTGGACGGACCTAGGAGGTTCAACAGAGACGCCCAGCAGTGGCTATCACTTCAAGGGGCCCGAGGGTCTACAGCTAGGTAGGTCAACCAGGTCACAAAGTGACAGAAGCCCTGGCCTGACGAGCCCGGTGGGCAAGCAAGCAGGCCAGGCATGGGGGCACAGTCCTTGGAAGGCACCAAGGCAAAATAAGGAGAACAGGCTCACATCTCCCTCCAGTCAGGGAACTCATGCTAGTAACCCAGAGCTGAGAAGGTCACAGAGAGCAAAGAAGTCTCCTAAATACTTAGAGGATTACATAACCTTGCTGGCTAAACAAAAGCCAGGTAACGATAGGAGCACTGAGAAGCAGAACACTGCATAAAATAAATGATTATATGTTGGTAGTATTTTTAGCCCGGGGGAAAGGGGTGTTATGTCCCGAGCCTTGCAAACGGCTCGGGCGTTTGCAGGCAGTCCCGGGCAGGTGCAAAGCTGCCCGAGACCAGACAGGCTGTCGCCAGCGCCGTGCGCATGCGCGGGTGCTGGCGCGGGAAAAGTATCGCATTTACCCGGGAAATGTCTATATAAGAAGCTGGGAGGTTTTGGGAGCTGCTGAAGCCATCTACTTGTAAGCTGAACGCAGAATAAAGAAAACTGAGAACTCCAACTGCTTCTCGTGTCTGCTTCCCGCCAAGGACTCAACAACTACATTAAGCCAATATTCACAAAAGTTTATTAAACAATAAGTGATAGACCAGCTTGCTCCCTCTGGTATTTGGGCCACAAAGTTTGGTGATTCCTGTTGCTTGCTTTGTTTTGTTTCTTGTTTCCTATTGACTGTAAGCTGACATGATATATTTGGACCTCTGCAACAGGATGTAGTGTGTGATTGTGTTTGAGATTTCCTTTTCAATGAATTTGCGCCGTTTTGTTGTTTTCTGGTTTTAATAATTTTTCAGCCACACAAAATAAATAAATAGATAGATGATAGATAGATGATAGATAGATAGATAGATAGATAGATAGATAGATAGATAGATAGATAGATAGATAGATAGATAAAAGTCTAACATTGTCCCAAAGAGGCAACTGGACTTTCTTGTTTTTCTTTGAAAACATTTCACTTCTCATCCAAGAAGCTTCTTCAGCTTCTCCAGAGCTGAAGAAGCTTCTTGAATGAGAAATGAAATGTCTTAAAAAACAAACAAACAAGAAAATCCAGTTGGTTCCTGGAGGGGAAAAAAAGCACCTTTGGGACAACCACGACTTGGATGAATCTCCATAGATAAGTCTAACATTACTTAGCAGAATTGGAATAATAAGGTAGGAGGTTGAATGAATGAATGAATGAATGAATGAATGAATGAATGAATGAATGAATGAATGAAACATTAACCAAATTTAGTATGAAATGAAAGTGTATGGCTTGGTTTTTACTGGCCATCTACCTGAAGGACTTTCATCATGTGCATCCCTCAGGAAAAAGAAATAGCATCATTAGGACACAATAATTGTCCTGAATGTATGCCTATGAGTGCAATGAAGAGTAATGCAGAATGTAAGCCCTACTCTTTTTCAGAATCCAGTTGTTTCACTTTTAAGGATGTTTAGCCTGAGGAAAGCTATGGCAAATCTAGACAGCATACTAAAAAGCAGAGACATCACCCTGCCAACAAAAGTGCGTATAGTCCAGTCCATGGTTTTCCCAGTTGCAATGTATGGCTGTGAAAGTTGGACCATAAGAAAGGCTGAGCGCCAAAGAATTGAGGCCTTTGAACTATGGTGCTGGAGAAGACTCCTGCGAGTCCCCTGGACTGCAAGGTGATCAAACCAGTCAGTCCTAGAGGAGATCAACCCTGACTGCTCTTTAGAAGGCCAGATCCTGAAGTTGAAACTCAAGTACTTTGGCCACCTAATGAGAAGGAAGGACTCACTGGAGAAAAGCCTAATGCTGGGAAAGATGGAGGGCAATAGAAGAAGGGGACGACAGAGAATGAGGTGGCTGGATGGAGTCACTGAAGCAGGAGGCGTGAGCTTAAATGGACTCCAGAAGATGGTAGAGGACAGGAAGGCCTGGAGGAATGTTGTCTATGGGGTCGCGATGGGTCAGACACGACTTCGCAACTAACAACAACAACAAGCCTGACGATAACACTAATTCCTTTTTTTTTTCTTTAATTGCACTAGAAAAGTAAGAATGCACATCTACAGCTTCAAGCAAGTGAGACGGATTTACAATGTGATTGGAATTCTCCGAGGAACAACAGAGCCAGGTAAATTCTATCTCCCGCACAAGTTTGTAAGATTTTGTTTTGCTTTATAACACATTTTCAATAAATGGTTACAGGAACTGGTATGTCTAATCAAAGGAAGAGAAGGACTAGGAGGTGACATGATAGTGGTCTTCCATTATTTGAGGAGCTGTCACAGAGAAGAGGGAGTCAAGCTATTCTCCAAAGCACCTGAGGGCGGGACAAGAAGCAATGGATGGAAACAAATCAAGGAGAGAAGCAACCTAGAACTAAGGAGAAATTTCCTGACAGTTAGAACAATTGATCAGTGGAACAGCTTACCTCTGGAAGTTGTGCGGTTCCATCACTGGAGATTTTCAAGAAGAGACTTGGCACGCCATTTGTCTGGAATGATATAGGGTCTCCTGCTTGAGCAGGGAGCTGGATGAGAAGACCCTTCCAACCCTATTATTCTATGTTCTGTGTTCTAAAATCATCCGTAGGACACTCTCAAGTTGTCCTTAGCATGGACAACATTCAAAGCCTAGTCCCTGCTGATGGATGCCTTCAGGACATGCACGGGAGCTGAAGTGGACTCCAGAAGCATTCTTGTAAATTAAGACAATCCTACTCAGTGATATTAATTTTTCACTTAAGTGTCATTTTTAAAAGCTCTATAATAATAAAAGACAGGGTTCACGGTGGCCCCATGCCTACTTGCAGGCCACTTTTTGTGAACTTTTACCAACTTCGTTATCACAATGTGAAGCTTTTCCATCCCTTCTGATCCAGATAGATACGTGATTCTGGGTGGCCACCGTGATTCATGGGTGTTTGGTGGCATTGATCCCCAGAGTGGAGCTGCAGTTGTTCATGAGATTGTCCGAAGTTTCGGGAAGCTGAAACAGGAAGGTAAGGTCAAACCTCTTGAAGCTGCTGAAGTTGAGAAATACCGAGAAAAAAGTTGGAAGGTTTTGCGTGGTTCTCTGTAAACACACGCCCTGCCTTCTGCCAAATGTTTTAAGTTATCTCAAACAATGCATCTAAATCAGTGATGGCAAACCTTTTAGAGACCAAGTGCCCAAACTGCAACCCAAAACCCACTTACGCATTGTCAGGTGCCGGATGGGTGTGGCCCATTGGGTGGGTGTGGCCCATTGGGTGGGCGTGGCTGTGGTGGTAACATCAGATTGGGTGGGACTAAAAAGTTCAATCAATCGATTCCAACTTTGCAAGATCTTTTTTTTCCCGCGAGAAGTTGAAATTGACTGATTGATTGAACCTTTTTTTTTGTACATGGCGGCGGAGGCCTAAAGCGAAAAGGTTTTATAAAACCCAGCTGAAGGCCTAGGACTGGGGCGACGGCACGCATGCCCACAGAGAGGGCTCTGAGTGCTGCCTCTGGCACCTGTGCCATAGGTTCGTCACCACTGATCTAAATAATGCAGTCATGTAACAATTTAAAACAGGAATCTAAACAATACTAAAAGACTAGTTTTTGGGGGGTGCAGCTCCAGTATAGAGAATATAAGTATATTGGAATGCTTTGCATGATCAGCTTTACTATTATCATTCTGATGCAAAGCTTTCTCAACTGCCTTCATTGCCATATGCATTTGGTCCAAATATACCTTCACAACTTCTGAAAGCAAAAAAAATTCTGCATTCAGAATAACTGTTCTAGAATACATTATGCAGAAATAGTAACCTAAGAAAGCAAAGATAAAAAGGAAAATGAAAAATGAAATCAATCCTATAAACATCAATTGATTAGTCCATTGAATTTTATAGCAAGGCTTTTCAACCAGTGGTACAGGTACCACCTGTGGTACATTGGCACCTGGCAAGTGGTACGTGACCATCCTAGAAAAATGGTAGCGAGGGAGGGAATGAGCTGAACCGGTGGCAGCACCGCACAAGCCTGAGTGAGAGACGGCTGGAGCTGCAGGGCTGTCAGGGCTCAGCAGAAGCACCAGGATCAGCGCTTCTTCAGGACTGTCAGGGCTCAGAGGAAGCGCCAGGATCAGTGCCAGGCTCCAGCTGGAGCTCAGCGTTGATCCTGGCGCTTCTGCTGAGCCAGGAAGAAACGCCAATCAGCTGGAATGTTGCAGCATCTCCGGGGTCTTATGATTTACATTCAGATGCTTGGCAACTGATTCATATTTATGACGGTCACACTGTCCCAGGGTCATATGAAGTGACCAAAACCTGCTGCACCCATCCAGCAGATGGGGGGAATAAAAACCAAATACCCCCACCCCACTCCCGCTGCCAATCCTCAACAGAAATGCTCACAACAATGAAAATCTCAGACAGGAGGAAGAGTGCCGCCGGGCGGGCGGGCAGGTGTCTTGCTTGACTGTGCCTTGGGGGGCACTTTTTTCAGTGCCATTGTAACTTTGAACAGTCACTAAGTGAACTGTTGTAAGTCTAGGACTACCAGTACTTCATCACTTTTTTCCTTTCTTTTTTTTTTTGGTCATCAAGTTTTTGGCATCTTGCTAGGCGACTAGTGGTACTCGGATATTGCCATATCCTAAAAGTGGTACAATGGGTGAAAAGGTTGAAAAGCCCTGTTTTATAGGACACGTTCCTGGTTCCAATGGAGGAGAATCTTTGTAGCTCAGGACTGAACTATGGAGTCCTTGGTGCTGTCTGAACTTGGTTGTTTTCTGGCAGACATTTCATTACCCAGTTAAATAATATCATCAGTGCTAGTGAGTGTGGGATTTGTTCCCTGTTTATAGCTTGCCCTGTTAGTGTTGATGGAGTCATGTGTGGTTAGTTCCTTGGATATAGATTACAGATTTTATTTTTGTTTTCTTTTGTTTTAGCATGATGTTAAATGGGACTACCTTTCTATATCCCACTTTTAAGTGTCTGCTTGTTATTCATAAACTGCTGAAAAACAAATGAGAATTTAAACTAGAGGAAGCAGGGTACAGAATATTGTCATTTGGGCTGGCTTCACTTTGATTGTTAAACTAATGGTACTCTAAATATTATAAATATAGGTTGGCGACCCAGGAGGACAATAATTTTTGCTAGCTGGGATGCTGAGGAGTTTGGCTTAATGGGATCAACAGAGTGGGCAGAGGTAAGTCAACAAAGTTGATTATGTATATTAACATAAATTATTTTTCATGGGAAAAAAAATCCTGCACTTTTTAAACTAGTGTGTCATTGCTTCAAATTTTTGCAAATATCTTCATTACCTTGCAAATAAGTTTGATTCTGAGGACACCTGAGAGGGTTATAACTAATAAAATTGATAAAAATGAGTTATAACTAATAAAAATGAGAAAAATTATAAATTTTAAATTTCAGGATAATATAGGAGATGAGTATAAGTTCAACGTCATCTGTGGAGTTAGATTTGTGATGGATCATTTAAAATAACAAAGCTATTCAACCAACAACCACAACTGAGCCCAAAATTTGCATTGTTATAAGTGAGACAGTTGTTAAGTGAGTTTTGCCCCACTTTATGACTTTTCTTGTCACAGTTGTTAAGTGAATCACTGCAGTTGTTAATTTAGTAACACGGTTGTTAAGTGAATCTGGCTTGCCCACTCACTTTGCTTATCAGAAGGTTGTGAAAAATAATCACATGACCTCGGGACACTGCAACCGTCATAAATATGAGTCAATTGCCAAGCATCTGAATTTTGATCACGTGACCATGGGGATGCTGCAATGGTCATAAGTGTGAAAAATGGTTATAAATCACTTTTTTCAGTGCCATTGAAATTTTAAATGGTCACTTAATGAACTGTTGTAAGTAGAGGACTACCTGTATGTGAAAAGTAGTCCATAAAGAAATATTTGTGTCACTAATCTGAATTAGTTTTAATTCCTCCTTTCCATTGCAGGAAAATGTCAAAATACTACAAGAACGGGCTGTGGCCTACATCAATGCTGATTCCTCTATAGAAGGTAACACACACTTTTCTTTTACTCTAAAGAAATTGAGAACTAAGGACAAATTTCTTGACAGAACAGTTAGAAACATACGATGAAAGGCTGTGGGAACTGAGTATTCCTAGTCAATATCCAATATCTCAGGGGCTGCCACAAAGAAGAGGGAGTCAAGCTATTCCCCAAAGCGCCTGAAGGCAGGACAAGAAGCAACGGATGGAAACGAATCAAGGAGAGAAGCAACCTAGAACTAAGGAGAAACTTCCTGACAGTGAGAACAATTAACCTGCCTCCAGAAGCAGTGAATGCTCCAACACTGGAAGTTTTAAAGAGGAAACTGGACAGCCATTTGTCCGAAATGGTATAGGGTTACCTGCCTGAGCAGGGGATTGGACTTAATGACCTCCAAGGTCCCTTCCAACTTTTTATTATTATTATGGATCATCACACAGTCAGTCAGATGTTCAGACTGGATTTGGCATTTTGTCTACCTATCGAGTCCTTACCCAGGACCTCGGATAGGCAGATGTGGATGTTTGATGGTATTACAGGTATCGTCGCAGGATGGAAGCAGTTCCTAATAAGGCCGCCTTTTGCAATTGACTAATAGTGAATTTGTCAATGCCAATTGTGTTCAAGTGGTGCTCCAGTTGTTTGGGATTGCACCCAAGGAGCCTATGACTATTGGTACTACCCTTGCTTGCTTTTGCCAGAGTCATTATTATTATTATTATTATTATCGATCATCGCACAGTCAGCCAGATGTTCAGACTGGATTTGGCATTTTGTCTACCTATCGAGTCCTTACCCAGGACCTGGGATAGGCAGATGTGGATGTTTGATGGTATTACAGATATCGTCGCAGGATGGAAGCAGTTCCTAGTAAGGCCGCCTTTTGCAATTGACTAATAGCGAATTTGTTAATGCCAATGGTGTTCAAGTGGTGCTCCAGTTGTTTTGGGATTGCACCCAAGGAGCCTATGACTATTGTACTACCCTTGCTTGCTTTTGCCACAGTCTTTCTATTTCTATTTGTAGGTCTTTGTATTTTGTTATCTTCTCCAGTTCTTTCTCTTCTATTCTGCTATCTCCAGGCACTGCCACGTCCACTATCCAGACTTTTTTGTCTTTCTTATCGACAATTGTTAAGTCTGAGGTGTTATGTTGCAGGTGCTTGTCTGTTTGAATTCTGAAGTCCAGAGCAGTTTAATTTTATCATTTTCTATGACTTTCTCTATTTTATGATCCCACCAGTTTTTGTTTACAGGCAAATGATATTTTTTGCAGATCTTCCAATGCACCATTGTTTCTACTTTGTCATGCCGCTGCTTGTAGTCAGTCTGTGCAATCTTCTTGCAACAGCTTACCAAGTGGTCCACTGTTTCTTCAGCTTCTTTGCATAGGCAGCACTTACTGTCTGTTGCTGTCTTCTCAATTTTGACTTTGTATGCATTTGTTCTTAAGGCTTGGTCTTGTGCAGCCAGAATTAGTCCCTCGGTCTCTTTCTTCAATTTTCCTGCTCTTAGCCATTGCCAGGGTTTATTGTTATCTGCTTTCCCAGCTATTTTTTTTCATGTATTGGCCATGTAGTGCTTTGTCTTCCCATGCCTCTATTCTGTTCTTCATTTGGTCTTTCTTGAAGGCCAGTTTGGTCTCTCCAGTAGTTAGTAAGCCTTCCTGATATACTAATTTCAGTGCATCTTCATCATTGTTCTTCAGATATTCTTCCAAAGCCATTTTTTCTCCTTCAACCATCTGATGTACTTGTAGCATTCCACGCCCACCTATTTGCCTTGGTAGATAAAGTCTATCAATGTCACTGCGTGGATGAAGGGCATGATTCATTGTCATTATTTTTCTGGTCGGCCTATCCATTGCTTTTAGTTCTGCTTGAGTCCAGTCCACTATTCCAGCTGTGTACCTAATGACTGGGATTGCCCAGGTGTTGATTGCCTTTATGGTATTTCCTCCATTGAGTTTGGATTTTAAGATCTTCTCACTCTCTTGATGTATTCACCTCTAATCTTTTTCTTGACTTCAGTGTGCTTGATGTTGTCAGCTTGAAGGATACCCAAGTATTTGTAGTACTCTTCCTCATCCAGATTCTTAATGTTATTTTCGTTGGGCATCTTGATTCCTTCAGTTTTCACTATTTTTCCTTGTTTGATAGTAAGTGTGGCACATTTGTCCAAGCCAAACTCCATTACAATATCTGGGCTATATATACGGACAGTGTTGAGCAGCGATTCTATTTCAGATGATGTTTTTCCATACAGCTTCAGATCATCCATGTAGAGGAGGTGGGATAGTCTAGCAGATGTTTTTAATGTTTGATAGCCATGTCCTGAGTTATTCAGTATTGTTGACAGAGGAAACAGTGCAATAACAAATAGTATTATTATTATTATTATTATTATTATTATTATTATTATTAGGAAGAGAAGGACTAGGGGTGACATGGTAGCACTCTTCCAACATTTGAGGGGCTGCCACAAAGAGGAGGGGGCCAACCTATTATCCAAAGCACCTGAAGACAAAACAAGAAGCAATGGATGGAAACTAATCAAAGAGAGAAGCAACCTAGAACTAAAGAGAAATTTCCTGAAAGTAAGAACAGTTAATCAGTGGAACAACCTACCTCCAGAAGTTGTGGCTGCCTCCAATACTGGAGGTTTTTAATAAGAAGATTGGACAACCATTTGTCTGAAATGGTATAGGGTCTCCTGCTTGAGCAGGAGGTTGGATTAGAAGACCTTCAAGGTCTCTTCCAACTGTATAATTCTGTTAAAATCCAAAACCATTAAAAAAATCAGAAACATAAAAACAATAGAAATCCACATTCAAAATTGTTGGTTGGGTTTCCCCCAAATAAAAATTATTTTTTAAAAAAGTCCTCCTAAAATACAGTAAAGATACTGTCCTTTTCTTTCAGGCAACTACACCCTTCGAGTTGACTGTACCCCATCGATGCACAGCCTGGTCTACAATCTAACTAAAGAGGTAAAATATGGATGTACTGTCAAGTCACAGATCAATATCTTATAGTTTTGGAGAAGAATTCAGAACAATTCTCTGTAAGGTTCTTGGGAGCTTCACATCTTCAACCTAACTGGATTCATCCTGGTTTCTATTCTCTGCCACAAAGATGGGTATCTCTGCTGTCTCAGGTGTTTTAGGATCCCATTTGCACATTCTTTTATTGGTACACTGGCGAAAATGTCAACTTCCCCCCCCCCTTTTTAATGAGGTTTCACAGAACTCTTTAAAAATAACTGGGTTACATGGCCACCAGCATTTCTTCACTGAAAGACTCCATTTCTCTAGTTTGCTAAACTACAAGCGGTCATCTGTAATAGTATGTGAGAATAACCTTGGGAGACGGAGGAGGAAGGTTTGTCGTAAAGTAGGATTAGTTCACCCAAGTGTGCCTCTTTTCTGAACCACCTTGCAAATCTGACATCAATCTTGCAAGACTGAGAGTATTCCCTCCTCTCTTTTCAGTCTCTGGAAAACTAGGGAGAGTCTTTTCTGAAACATTTCCCACTGTCAGAATCCAATTATACTTCATCTCCAGTTATCAATTATAGAAAACCCCATTTCTGCCCTCTCTGGATTCTGTCATACAAGAAAGGGAAGGGGGTGAACAAGGAGGCTTTATGGCCCTCACTTCCTTCGGTACAACTTCAAAGGGATTGAATGTGGATAGCACCAAAAGGCCTTATCATGACAAAGGAGGCTATTTACCTTTCATGTTGTTTTCTCTGAAGTCTCCATCCAGCCGGCAGAAAGGAAAAGGGGGTGGGATTGTGATGCCTGAAACTGTCACTGGAAGAGGGGGGTGATTGGGTGGGACTACTGGGAAACCCCTTAAAACCTCGAATGGGAGAGCTTGAACCCCAAGTCCTGTCTAGAACGCCTGCAACCATTTTCTCTTAATAAAGGATTCCTGTTGGAAGAATTATTCCAAGAGTTCTGTCTTCTTAAGATGCAAAGTGGGGTGGGTCCTTACATTACACAGGACTTGGGTGTCCTTGGTGGTGTCCTTGGTGGTCTCTGAAATTGGTTGTTTTCTTGCAGACGTTTCATTATCCAGCTAGATAACATCATCAGTGCTAGAAGGGAATAGGGTTTGCTGTCTTTTTATATACTAGTTGTCAAGGTTCTGACCAACGAACCCAACCAAGTAACCACCGATGAGACGATCCAATCTCTTTGTGCAAAACTTTATTGAGAACATCATTTTGGCATGATTGAAAGCAAAACCAGCTCTGGTTATTCCCCGTGCAAACTGCTACAATTAAAACACACACCTCTCCCTCCCCTTATTAGGGCATGTCACATTGTCGAATCAGGTGTCAAAAGTTTGTTATAAGAAAGTGTCTATATGGGTTGGTAAATGCAGACTGAAACGTCCTTGGTTCACATGGTTAGATTTCTTGTTGTCTGGCATCTTAGTTTCTGTTGGCAAGATAAGAAGCAGTAAGGGGGGCAACATTGTGCATGCGCTTCAAGCTTGACACTAGTAGCTTGACCTATCAGTGTTAGTGGGAGTGTTTTTGTTCGTCCCTTAGTAAGGCTGTTGTTTGCTCTTGGCTTACTCGAGCTGGTAGTTCCTTGATTGGGGTATCTACACCAAAATTAACTCTAGACCAGGGATAGGCAACCTTGGCTCTTTTATGACTCGTGGACTTCAACTCCCAGAATTCCTGAGTCAGCCACGCTGAGGGGAAAGGGAGAGGTTTCCAAGCTGAGCCACGCTGGCTCGGGAATTCTGGGAGTTGAAGTCCACGAGTCATAAAAAATCCAAGGTTGCCTACCCCTGCTCTAGACCAATAATCAAGAAGTAACTAATATCCCAACCAGGATGTTGGAACCCACTTTCTAGCCATAAGAAAAAGGTAGAATAAATTAATTAAATAAAACCTGATGTCGGAATGTTCAGACCTTTAATGTGGCACAAAAGAATATTAAAAAAACCCAATACTACAGTTGTAAACTTTTTCAACAGGCTGGAAAATGGCTCCCTTTCATAAATAGGAGTCTTTTCTGAAAAAGATAAGATAAGAGCATGGATCAGGGGCCTCCAAACTTGGCATCAGTAAGATTTATGGACTTCAGCTCCCAGAATTCCCCAGTCAGCTGGCTAGAGAATTCTGGGAGCTGAAGTCCACAAGTCTTAAAGTTGCTAAGTTTGCAGATTTTTGGCATAGATTGTATTTCTGGGCAATATTTTCAATTGGAAGGCAATTTAGAGCATAAAGATCTGTAGCATCTTAAGCTAAACATATATTTTCTTAGGATCATGCTGAAGATTTGAAGGGAAATCCTGCAAATTCAAGATCAAACTGCTGGCAGTTGGCGGAGTTAGCCTGTACAAGTTTAATCTTGACATCTCAACATGAGAGGATTAAAGACTCAAAGGGCAGAATTGATATCTGCAGCTCAAGTTGGTCTAGAACAGGATTTCTCAACCTCAGCGATTTTAAGATGTATGGACTTCAACATGCTGGTTGGGGAATTCTGGCAGCTGAAGTCCACACTTCTTAAACTTGCCGAGGTGGACGGAATGTCCTTCTAGACTGGACAATACAGTGTGGTTGAACATGATTTTCAGTTGAGCTCATACTTTGTCTGAGAAAAAAAGGCCTTCCTGAATAACAATAATTAAAACCAACCACTTTTCTGCTAGGTATGTAAATAATACAGTACCTTGAAAAATAAGAATCATGTGGTTTGGATAATGATGGTGCACCAAAGCTGGTAGCTTACGAATGCAGTATCAGCAAATCTAATTTTGTATAGGGGGTTTCCCTCATGATTAAGTAGGTAAGATAGCTTGTAGCCCACAGTCTATGACTATACAAAAGCATGTTGTGTCAGACACCAGCCTCCTTCAGTGTGGTGTTGTCCACATGTGTTGGATTCCAAAATAACACCCCCTGGGCATTGTGGAAGTTGCATAACATAAACTGGAGGAAACCAGTTGAAAAAGGCTACGTTACACATTTCCCATTTAGACCCTTGCAACATTAAATACACACAGCATTTAAGATTCAATCTCCAAAGGTTGTTTTGGATTGCAAATATAGCATCTGTTTGCAACATGGTAAAGCAACAGCACCTTTTTCTGGGGTCACATGGCTCCAGACAGATGTGTGATGTATTCATGCTCCAATTTTCTTGAAAAGGTTAGCAAGAGCAAGAACACTTAGACTTATATACCGCTTCACAGTGCTTTACAGTCCTCTCTAAGTGGTTTACAGAGGCAGCATATTGCCCCCCAGCTATCTGGGTCCTCATTTTATCGGCCTTGGAAGGATGGAAGGCTGAGTCGACCTTGAGCCGCTCAGGATCGAACTGCTGGCAGTCGGCAGAGTTAGCCTGCAATACTGCATTCTAACCACTGGGCCACCATGGCGCTTGGTAATAATGGTATGCCATTCCTTTATTCTATAGTTTCATTAACACAATGCATATCTTCTTAGATACCAAGCCCCGATGAAGGATTTGAAGGCAAATCTCTTTTTGAAAGCTGGTATGAGAAAAACCCATCAAGGGAATATGAAGGCTTCCCAAGGTAAATGCCAAAATGGGAAAGGTGAAGATCAGAGGCTGAATTGTCTTGCGGAGAAGGGAGTGGATTTTTGGTAGTAGCTGAGATGCAAATACAAAAGTGAAAGTCCAAATACACTGGGACCTATTCTGGAAGATAGAAAGCAGAAGAGCCAGTTTGGTGTACTGGTTAAGGTGCTGGCCTAAAAAGCAGGCGAGAGGGAGTTCTAGTTTAGCCATAGGCATGAAAGAGGCCTGGGTGACTTTGGGCCAGTTACTCTCTATCAGCCCAACCCACCTCACCGGGTTGTTCTGGAAAAAAACAGGAGGGGGAAGAACAATTATGTACTGTGGGTTTGCTGCCTTATGTTATACTTATATAAAGTAATAAAGGCAGGATACAAATCTAATAAATAAATAAAATAAATAAAGTGAGTATTCTTCCACATGATGCTCACAGTAGAAAAGTTGTGTAGATCCATTGCTCAGGCAAAGTTATTCAATTTGGCTGGGGAAAATAGTGTCCCTCCATCTAAGTTTCAGAACATGTGCAGATATACATCCAACTTTCCCCCCTCTCTCTGATCTACATACTAGACTGCCCAGAACAGAATCAGCCCTAAAGGCTGCTGCACAGCTATTTAAACAATTAGCCTCTAGGTGGCAACCAATAGGTTTAAAACAGGGCTTTTCAACCTTTTCACCCATCGTACCACTTTTAGGATATGGCAATATCCGAGTACCACCAGTTGCCTAGCAAGGTGTCAAAAACTTGATGACCAAAAAAAAAGAAAGGAAAAAAGTGATGAAGTACTGGTAGTCCTCCACTTACAACAGTTCGCTTAGTGACTGTTCAAAGTTACAATGGCACTGAAAAAAGTGCCCCCCCAAGGCACAGCCAAGCAAGACGCCTGCCCGCCCGGTGGCGCTCTTCCTCCTGTCCGAGGTTTTCATTGTTGTGAGCATTTCTGTTGATGATTGGCAGTGGGGGTGGGGTGAGGGGGTGTTTGGTTTTTATTCCCCCTGTCTGCTGGGTGGTTGCAGCAGGTTTTGGTCACGTCACATGACCCTGGGACACTGTGACCATCATAAATATGAATCAGTTGCCAACCATCAGAATGTAAATCATAAGATCCTGGAGATGCTGCAACATTCCAGCTGATTGGCCTTTCTTCTGGGCTCAGCAGAAGCACCAGGATCAACGCTGAGCTCCAGCTCGAGCCTGGTGCTGATCCTGGTGCTTCCGCTGAGCCCTGACAGTCCTGAAGAAGCGCTGATCCTGGCGCTTCCGCTGAGCCCTGACAGCCCTGCAGCTCCAGCTGTCTCTCACTTAGGCTTGTGCGGTGCTGCCACCGGTTCAGCTCATTCCCCTCCCCCGCTACCATTTTTATAGGATGGTCGCGTACCACCTGCCAGGTGCCAATGTACCACAGGTGGTACCCATACCACTGGTTGAAAAGCCTTGGTTTAAAGTAAGAGTTTCCCGCCCCAAACCTCATTATCAGCTTGGAGACATCCAGTCTGGTTTTCAGTAACAGCAACTGTTAAACAATACAGCAATGTAGGTCAGACCTTAAACAAGTGATTTAAAACAGTGGTGGCCAATACATTACAGAGATGGAGATGGATAGATAATTGTACAGAAACTTTTTGAGTTTTTTAGTGTCTCGCATTAAAATAATAATTTTATAATTTCTTACGCCACCTGTTCCCCTTCCCCTCCCTATTTTATTTCCAACAGGATAAACAAACTGGGTTCTGGCAATGATTTTGAAGTCTTTTTCCAAAGATTGGGAATTGCTTCTGGTAGAGCCCGTTACACTAAAAACTTTGTAAGTGTGTTCAAATCATTTTTGGGGAGAGTGGTGCCTTCAAGTCAGCGTTGACAGCTGGTGACTGCCTGGACCATTCCCTGCAGATTTCTTGGGAAGATTTTGGAAGTGATTTGCCATTGCCTCCTTCTTAGGGATGAGAGAGAGCGACTGGCTTAAGATTTCCCAGCTGGCTTTGTATGTATGCAAAGCAGAACTAGAACTAACGCTCTCCTGATTTCTACTCTGGTTCCTTAACCACCAAACCTGCGGTCTGTTCAAAGAATAGCATGAAGAAATCCAATGGAAACCGCCTTCTCCAACCTAAAACTCTCCAGATGTTGGCTGCAGATTGTGGGAACTGCAGTGCAGAACATCTGAAAAATGCCCAGACAGAGAAAGCTGCAAGAATTCCATATGAAGTATCTGAAATCTTTCCACTTCAAAGATAAGAATTACCTGTGAAAGTCCATTTTTCTTATCTCAAATATTTCCCAATTGTTCAGAAAGTGTAAATTACCTAAGAATTTAATTCCAGTGGAAACAGATGGCCTTTCCCATCTCAAACTGTACAATTCAGGACCCTGTTTGCAGAAATCTGATTGAAAGCCCAAGATGATACTGTACTAAGTAAAATATAATTTGAGTCTCACCTTATAGCTTGTATCATCTAGCTACAAAAATAGATATTAAAGATCTACAAAACCGCTTATTAAATCACTTTTCTTATTTATTGATTGATTTACAGTCAAAGACCCAATAACAAGAAATAACAAGCAAAATAAAGAAATAAATACTCAAACATGATAATAAAATACAGAGTAAAAGAAGCAACATAATAAAGGAAGACTGAAGAAAATGATTTAGCTCATATAGCACTAGTGTTTCTCAAATCTGGCAACTGTTAGACCTGTGGACTTCAACTCCCAGAATACCCCAGCTAGCAAACCTGTAAGTTTGAGTCCTATGTTAGCCATGAAAGCTAGCTGGGCAACTTTAGGCCAGTCACTCCCTATCAGTCCAACTCATCTCAGAAGGATATTGTTGGGAGAAAAATAGGAGGAGGAAGGAGTATCAGGTTTGTCCAGTGCTTTGAGTTATTTATAAAAAAATAAAAAATGGGCTCATCTCCAAATTAACAAATTATCATTTGGAAATAATTTGATTAATGCGATGTAAGTGAGATATAAATTGAAATGATAGTGCACCTGATACTGCATCTGACAATTGATACTGCATCTGACAATCCATTTTAGCATATTTGCAATCCAGATCATCCAGTTCAGCTACAATGTATATTAGCTCTTAGGACAGAATCTGGGAACGTAGTAATTTTATTTTTCTAATTGAAGTAAGTGCTGGATACATTGTGCAAACCCCACTTCTTCACGTACGGACATTGTTAAATTATCAAAATGAAATCAAACATTTACTGACATCTTTCTTTCCAGAAAGTGGACAAGTTCAGCAGCTACCCAGTTTATCACAGTGTCTATGAGACATACGAGATTGTGGAAAAGTTTTATGATCCAACTTTCAAGAACCATTTGGCTGTGGCCCAAGTGCGAGGAGGGCTGGTGTTTGAGCTGGCTGATGCGGTCATCCTCCCCTTTGACTGCAGAGATTACGCCAAGGCACTTAATAGCTATGTTGATATCATTTACAACCTAACAATGAAGTATCGGGCAGCAATGGAAGCACACAATGTATCATTAGGTAAGCAGACCAATCTCCAACATCAAGGTAGGATCTTCAATAACACACAGCATTCCTCCCCGATTCCTTTGATCTACTTGTTGTGAAAGTGAGTTCTCATACAATCAGTGAAAAACAAAATCTGACTATTGCAAAATAACAGATTTACAGAGTTGGAACAGATCTTGGAGGTCTTCTAGTCCAACTCTCTGCTCAAGCAGGAGACCCTATACCCGTAGTGGCGAACCTATAGCACGCGTGCCACAGGCGGCACTCAGAGCCCTCTCTGTGGGCACATGCACCATCGCCCCAGTCCTAAGCCTTCAGCTGGGTTTTATAAAACCTTTTCGCTTTAGGCCTCTGCCACCGTGTGCAAAAAAAAAAAAAAAAGTTCAATCAATCAATCAATTTCAACTTCTCGCTGGAAAAAAAAGATCTCTCAAAGTTGGAATTGATTGATTGAACTTTTTAGTCCCACCCAGTCTGCTGTTACCACCGCAGCCATGCCCACCCAATGGGCCACACCCAGTCAATGGGCCACGCCCATCCGACACCCAATGATACATAAGTGGATTTTGGGTTGCAGTTTGGGCACTCGGTCTCTAAAAGGTTCGCCATCACTGCTTATACCATTTCTGACAAATGGCTGTCCAATTTCTTAAAAGCCTCCAGTGATGGAGCACCCAACTTTTGGAGGCAAGCTGTTCCACCGATTAATTATTCTCACTGCCAGGAAATTTCTTCTTAGTTTTAGGTTGGTTCTCTCCTTGATGAGTTTCCATCCATTGCTTCTCATTTTGCCTTCAGGTGCTTTGGAGAATAGCTTGACCCCCCCTCTTCTTTATGGCAACCCCTTAAATAGCAATAGCATTTAGACTTATATACCACTTTACAGTGCTTTACAGCCTTCTCTAAGCAGTTTACAGAGTCAGCCTATTGCCCCCAACAATCTGGGTCCTCATTTACCGACCTCAGAAGGATGGAAGGCTGAGTCAACCATGAGCTGGTGAGAATCGAGCTCCCAAACTACAGACAGCCGGCAGTCGCAGGAGTAGCCTGCAGTATTGCATTCCAACCACTGCACCACCACCAGGGTTCATATTGGAAGGCTGCTATCATGTCACCTCCAACCATTCATTGTATGGTTCTAAATATCCCAAGAGAAAACTGGGCCTTCCATGCAATATAGACCCAAGAGTTTAGATACTGTATCTCTAAACCAGGGTTGGGCATTGTGGCAATTTTACGATCTCTGGACTTCAGTTCATGTTGGCTCAGGAATTCTGGGAGTTGAAGTCCACAGGTCATAAAGTTGCCATAGTTGTCCATCCATGATCTAAACAGAGCTTGATCTTGAAACCCAGCAGTTGATAGCATTCTTTGGTTAGGGCTTCCTCACATTTCTTCAAAAAAGATTAATTATGGGCATCTTGGATTCTTGTGGGCGAAGCCCAATAGCAGCCACGTGAAGGATACCTAATTTTTAGCCATTCTTTCTCTCCCAAATACATGCTGGTTGCCAAGGGGCCAAATTTTGATCACGTGACTGTGGGGATGCTGGGAGGGGGGTAAGTGCAAGAGTCAGTTGTAAGTAAAAAATTTTTAGTACCACTGTAACTTCGAACAGTCACTAAACAAATAGTTGTAAGTTGAGGGCTACTTGTATTTCCCGGAATCTCATTCCCCACCACTTCCCCACTTTCTCTCCAGCTCTTTTTCTTGAAATGTTAAATATGCAAAATGACTCCCTTGGCTGGGTACAGGAATTTAAACTTGTGTATCCCTGCCAGGTCTTTGGGGTTAGATTTAGCATCCTGTGAGTTAATTGACTCCTTTTTGGTGTGACCTCCTCACTGTTTCAGCTAAATAAGTTGGGGAAGGGAAATGCTTATCACAACTGTGTAAGCTCCAGATATATTGTGAACTTTGTCCAAGACAATTACCTCAAAAAGTTGAAGATTAATATCACGGAATCGAGATCTAAATTTTCTCCCTGCTTGTGATTTCAGGAAAGTCCTAAAGCTACTGTAGATCTAGAGCAGTGGTTCTCAACCTTTTTAATGCCGCGACCCCCAACCGGTCGTAAGTCGAGGACTACTCAACCGGTCGTAAGTCGAGGACTACTCAACTGGTGCAGCACCGTTTGCAGAATGGGACTTTTGGCGGGCTCAGCAGGGCAGAGACAGCCTGGACAATTCCTATTGGCTTTTGAAAGCCAATAGAATTAGACTCTATTCAAGAGAGTCTATTCTATTGGCTTTCAAAAGCCAATAGAATAAAAGGGAGTAGCACAGCTAAGGAAAAGGGGGAAAAAAATGGCGGACTGCGTTGTTTGGCGACCCCCGTGAAATGGTCGTTCGATCCCAAATGGGGTCCCGACCCACAGGTTGAGAACCACTGATTTAGAGTCATTCCATGAAGCAAATAACAGATTCAGAAAAAAAAAGCAAATGAAATTATTTCATGAAACTAATGCCACAAGATGCGAAGGCTGCAACAAGATTGCAACTATAAATGGCTAATAGATAGGATATATCAGTGATGGCGAACCTTTTAGAGATCGAGTGCCCAAACTGCAACCCAAAACTCACTTATTTATTGGCAGGTACCAGGTGGGGGTGGCCACTGGGTAGGCGTGGCTATGGTGGTCATGGGGAGGGATGTCTGTGGGGGCCGGGCAGGGTTGGGGGAGATCCAGGGAGTCTCTGGCGGGTGGGGTGGTGGGCAAGAGGCTCATCCTGCGGAGTGAGGCAAGGCAAGGCAGGGCGGGGGTGCCATTGTCACAGGGAAAGGTGAGGCAGGGGCCAGGGTGGCTGCTGCCTGACGCCATCGGCCTCTGCACACAGAGGCCAGCGAGCACATGGGTGCTGGGATCATCTGGCCATGTGGGACCTCGGCCAGTTAGCAGGCGGCTGGTTGAAGAGGGACAGTTGCCATCTCTGGGGCATGGCGTGCGGGCCCACAGAGAGGGCTCTGAGTGCTGCCTCTGGCACGCGTGCCATAGGTTCGCCACCAGTGGGATATATCATCACCAGGACTGGAGACAAGCCGTTAAAACAGAATTATCCTCCTTATAAACATAGACAGCCGTATTTGCTGCTTCTAACATGTATATATATGAACAAAGGTGCAGATAACTCATATTTCTATGAGTTATTCATATATATATGAACAAAGGTGCAGATAACTCATATTTCTAGTGGAGCCACTGCACCCAAAGGCAAGAGATTAACTAACAGGATACTGGAAAGACCGTGTCATGCACTTTTTAGTCTTTTCCTATCTCATCAGCAACTGCTAACCCAGTCACCTTGGTTTGCCAAATAACCCTTTGTTTTTTTTTTCAGTTAACTGCTGTGAGACAAAAATGATCTTAGAGTGAATAATTGTTGACCTCTTCCTACTATTCGTTTACATGGGCTTCCTGCCATAATACAATTACTTCCTCAGTTGCAGCACTGTCTCAGAATTCCAGCTAGCTGGGCCATTATGGAAAATTCTGAATTATAGTTCTCATACCTCTAAACAGCATGGGTAATAAAGGGATGTGAGAGCTGTCATTCAACATCTGGAGAGCCACAGGTTCTCTACACTTGAGCTAATTTGATGGAAACAATAAAAGCAAGAGTCTCATAATTTAGCATTTTCTCTCCTGCGTTATTCCAGTTTTGCTTCGGGATTCCATAAAGACGTTTTCAGAAGTTGCTGATGAATTTCACCGCAGACTTCAATTAGTGGACATCAATAAGTAAGTCTCCTAATTTTTGTGGTCATTCAGACAAGATAGCCATAGCCTCCATTCTCCTAATATTAATTGAAGTTTAAGCGATCATGGCAAGCTCTAGCCTGAGAAAGTCCAGTTAAAATACTCTTCTCTTTCCTTTGCTGGGCTTTCAAAACTCTGTGCATCCTGATCAGAAGTCATGTTCCCTCTAACATTGTTATTTCAATTGTCTATTTTCCAGCCCAATTGAAGTAAGATCTTGGAATGATCAATTGATGTTTTTGGAAAGAGCATTTATTGATCCTCTTGGATTGCCTGGCAGACCATTTTATAGGTAAGGAGAAATATATATATATATATTTATTTCTTCAATTTCTATAGCCACCCAACTTAACCCAATGATTCAAGGTGGCTTGTCAACCTTCTTTCCATTCTCCCGGTCTTAAAAGTCCTTATATATCTTAAGAACACAAGCAGTACCCTTTTTGACTAGATTCCTGGCCCATCTAGTCCACAATCCGTTCTCACAGTGACCACACAACAGTTAAAGAAGCCCACTGGTCTCTCAACAAATGGCCTTCAAAGTTAGAATAATAGAATAGAACAATAATAACTTTATTGTCACTCTAAATGCACACTGATCAGCATACATTAAAATGAGATTTTGTTGCATACAGCCCTCAAAGGATAACCATCTCCAATATACACTGCATAAACATAACAAAAAAATAAAATAAATTATGCATATACCCACATACGCACACATTTGTGACCCAGACAAACAACACAGTCTAGTTCGGATGTGTACATATACATGGCGAGAAAAAAGAATCTTGCGAGTTTACCAGACAGACGGCATAGGGAACAAATCTGTTACAGAATCTGGTAGTCCTGCTATAAATACTTCGAAACCTCCTCCCAGAGGGGGGCAACAGAAACAGACCGTAAAGTGGGTGTTTGGGGTCTCTAACAATGCTTTGAGCTCTAAGCACATAGTGCTTATAAGCAGCGTCCTGAATAATGGGAAGCGAACTTCCTATAATTTTCTCAGCTGTACTTACCACTCTCTATATCAGTGGTTCTCAACCTTTCTAATGCTGCGACCCCATAATACAGTTTCCTATGTTGTGGTGACCCCCAACCACTTTTACATCACCGGGTGCCAGGGGCGTGGCCAAAGAAAAGGGGGAAAAAATGGCGACCCCCGTGAAATGGTCGTTCGACCCCAAATGGGGTCCCGACCGACAGGTTGAGAACTACTGCTCTATATCAATGATGGCGAACCTTTTAGAGACTGAGTGCCCAAACCGCAACCCAAAACCCACTTATTTATTGCAAAGTGCCAGGGCCGCATCAGCATTGTGGTGCCCTCGGGGTGGGTGGGTGGGTGGGGGCGTGGCCCACTGGGTGGGCGTGGCCGTGGTGGTCACAGCAGACTATGTAGGCATGTCTGGGGTGGGCATGGCCACCTTGATGTTGCTCGTGGGGAGATGCCTGTGGGGGCTGGGTGGGATTGGGGGAGATCCAGGGGATCTCTGGTGGGTGGGGCAGTGGGCAGGAGGCTTGTCCTGTGGGGTGAGGCAGGGAATAGGGTGGGGGTGCCATTGCTGCGGGACAAGGCGACACCATCAGCCCCTGCACTACAGAGGTCAGCGAGCGCATGGGGGGGGCACGCTCTACCACCTCTACTCGAGCTTGCTAACCAACTGCTTTGCCTCCTTTGTGCTGGGTGGAACTGCTGTTCTGGGCACCAGTAGTGGCCTAATGGACCTGCACCGGCTGATGATGGCAGCAGTAGGTATGCCCACAGAGAGGGCTCTGAGTGCTGTCCCTAGCACGTGTGCCATAGGTTCGCCATCACTGCTCTATATGGACCTTCTATCTGAGGCTCTGCTATCACCAAACCAAAGAGTGATGCAGTTTGTTAAAAATGCTCTCCATCGTGCCTCTGTAAAATGTGGCCAGGACAGAAGGAGAAAGATGGGCTCTCCTCATCCAATGCAGGAAATGCAGACATTGGTTTGCACGCAAGTTTTTAACTAACAAAATTGCCTTATCTATCATGACATGTTGGATTTGTTTGGAAAAACTTCCACATATTTGCCTGAAAGGTAATGAAATCTGAATAAACGGTGGAGGTCATTCTATCAGGTATAAAGATGGTCAGTTGAGATATGAAGACTAGACAATGGAGCAGAGGGCTTAGTGTCTCCTAATCTTTGAAATGCTGCTTAAAAACAAATCTTAAATTCTTCTTCAAAAAGGATCTTTTACCTACCAATCTAATCCTGTTGGTTTCCTGAATGCATCTGGTTGTTGGTGATGGGACACCGAATGTGGACTAGATGACTCTTTTTTTTTTCCTGATTTCAGTTAAGTTCTTCTTAATGTTTTGAAAGTAGCAGGTTAGAGAACGCTGATTTACTTCAAACCTTGAGAACTTCTGTTCTAAATAATGGGATTCCAAGGGCCAATTGATATTATTGCCTTTTTCTAGACACATCATCTTTGCTCCAAACAATCACAATAAGTATGCTGGAGTGTCCTTCCCCGGGATCTACGATGCCCTATTTGACATCGATAATAAAGCAGACCAACAGAAAGCCTGGGAAGAAGTGAAGAAGCAGATCTTCATCGCTGCTTTCACCGTGAGAGCTGCAGCTGGGACACTGAATGAAACACCCTGTGGGGATGCAAGTGAGGGATTGCCAAGCAAGCTCCAACAGAGTCACACTTGAGTTCTCAAAAATAAAATAACTGATGCAAAAGAAGCCCTACTGATTTGGTTGATCCCAAGGATGTTTTTGTTATGGAATGCTATGGAATGCATTGTGATTTTCATTTATTGTAATTTCAAATAACCTCCAAGTATTTTGAAAAAAATGCTTCTCTTGTTCATTCATTCATTCATTCATTCATTCATTCATTCATTCATTCTATATAGCTGCCCATCCCACTCTGTGACTCTGAGCAGCTCACATAATTAAAACACAACCAGTAAACAAAATACAGGATTCAGTAACAAACACAATAATTCCCATTTAAAACACAATTAAAGCACTAAATTATTTACTTTTTAATGACTTTATTTTATACTTCCCCCATGCTGGAGGTCTTCCTGGATTTAAATGACATTTTGTGTCATTTAAATCCAGGAAGGAATGAGGGCATCTATGGGATTGAAGCTCCATCTCCTTTTTGTATGCACTGGACGTGCAACATGCCATGGTTCCATATGTTGCATGGACAATGCAGGCAAAAAAGAGGGTGATGCTTTAATTGGATAATCATAGCTGCCATCTTGATTTTTTTGTCCAAATCCAACCTCAGAGGAGACCCATTGATCCCAGCCTGATTTCTAACAATGCGTATAAAGGTAATCCTCAACTTACTATCACAATCAGGACTGGAACAAGCAAATGGTGCTTTTGTCATATTAGCAATAGCAATAGCATTTAGGTTTATATACAGCCCCATAACACTTTCTAGAACTCTCTGGGTGGTTTACAGGGTCAGCCTATTGCCCCCAACAATCTGGGTCCTCATTTTACCGACCTTAGAAGGATGGAAGGCTGAATCAACCTTGAGCCAGTCAAGATTGAACTCCTAGCAGTGGGCAGAAATAGCCTGCAATACCGCATTCTAACCACTGCATTACCATGGCTCCTTCCTTCCTTCCTTCCTTCCTTCCTTCCTTCCTTCCTTCCTTCCTTCCTTCCTTCCTTCCTTCCTTCCTTCCTTCCTTCCTTCCTTCCCAATAGCATTTAGACGTATATATCATTTTACAGTGCTCTGTAAGTGGTTTACAGAGTCAGCATATTGGCCCCCACAATCTGGGTCTTCATTTTACTGATCTCAGAAGGATGGAAGGCTGAGTCAACCTTGAACTGGTCAGGATCGAACTCCAAACTGCGGGCAGAGTTTGCCTATAATTTTGCATTCTTACCACTGTGCCACTGGAGGATATACACCACTGTGTATATAGCATATATTAAACACAGCATTTTGTGGAGTACCTCAACAGTATTTTGATAAGAATGTCTTTAAGGATCAGTGTGGGTTCTATGAAGACTTGAAATAATAGGCTAGGGACAAATCTAGGAAATCTATGTGACTCATAAGGGTCAACACCAATGTGATTGTTCATTTCAGTCAATCAATCAATAAAAAGTGTTCCATGATCACAGCTTCATTGGAAATTCAGCAGGAGGGTAGGGAGAAAGACCCAGCCTCCTTATAACCACCATCAGCCAGAAGAGTGTTTGCAGATTTGACACCTGCTGAACTTAAAAGCTATTCTGATGAAGAAGGTGGGGAATGGAATGGAGTGGAGAATAGTAATAATCTAGCCCCCTGCCCAAGGCAGAAGATCTTATTGCACCCTGGACAAATGACTGTCCAATCTTTTCTTGAATACCTCCAGCAATAGAGCATCCACAATTTTACCTAATTCTCTTTTTAATTATTAGAATCAGAATCAGAATAACAGAGTTGGAAGGGACCTTGTAGGTCATCTAGTCCAACCCCCATCCATGCTCAAGCAGGAGACCCTACACCAGACATGTCAAACTTGCGATGTCATGTGATATCATGCAACGTATCAGGACGGTTTTGCCATTGCCGGCAATAGGGTGGGCGAGGCTTCCGGATGACGCGTCTGGCCTGTGGGCCAGTAGTTTGACACCCCTGCCCTACACCATTTCTGACAGATGGCAGTCCAGTCTCTTCTTGAAAGCTTCCAGTGATGGAACTCCCACAACGTCTGAAGGCAAAACTGTTCCGTGGGTTGATTGTTCTCACTGTCAGAAAATTTCTCATTTCCAGTTTGAATCTCTCCTTGATCAGTTTCCATCCGTTATTCCTTGTCTGGCCTTCAGGTGCTTTGGAAAGTAGGTTGACTCCCTCCTCTCTGTGACAGCCCCTCAGATATTGGAACACTGCTATCATGTCTCCCCTGGTCCTTCTCTTCTCTAGACAGCCATGCCCAGTTCCTGTAACCTTCATATCTTTTAGCCTCCAGTTCCTTAATCATCTGGGCATAACTGTATTTGACTATACCCCAAACAGCTGGCCGAGAATGGAGAACAGAAGAAACAGGGAGAAGACAGACTCCAGCAATTTGCAATAAATAAGGTCCAGAAATTTGCAGCTGGACTTCTCTTATCAGGCTGTATGAACAAACTGCCCCACCCTTCAACTCTGTCTGGCCTGGAACCACCTTATTGCTGCAGGCAGAGAAGCCAGCTGGTTCTTCCAGCTGTAATGTCAGTTGGGAAGAAAGAAAGACAGAATTCACACACGTTAGATGTTGTCCACCTACTCACAGCTGAAGGAGCTGTCTAGATGGTTATCTTAAAAAATGCTTTTCTTCCAAAAGGCAACTGGACTTTCTTGGGTTTTTTTTTTTTTTTGAAAACATTTTGCTTCTCATCCAAGAAGCTTCTTCAGTTCACGAACTGTTCGTGACCGGCTCAGGAATTTTGGGAATTGAAGTCCACAGGTCAGAAAGGGGTCATACATTCCCCATCCCAATCTCAGCTTCCAAAGATCAGGAGGTTAGCTGAAACAACGGGTGGGTGCCACTGAGATCAAATATTCATCTCTAGCAAAATTGCCGAGTTCCTGAATGAGGATTTGGTACACTGAAATATAAGCTGAACTGCCCCTTGCTTACATAGGAAGAAAATCACAAAGAACAGTTTCTTGGGGATGGTAACATTTCTTTAATAAATAACAAAATAACATTCCCCATTCTGCCCAAAGACTCTCAAAAGGAGTCTTGTAGATCCCAGTTTCAGAAATCTCTGCTTCTCTTTCACACGAGATGATTTATTTATTTTATCTATCTATCTATCTATCTATCTATCTATCTATCTATCTATCTATCTATCTATCTATCTATTTATTTATTTATTAAATTTACAGCCGATCCTTGACTTATGACCAAAACGGAGGCCAAAATTTCTGTTGCTAAGTGAGACATTGGTTAAGTGAGTTTTGCCCCATTTCCTGCCATATTTGTTAAGTGAATTGCTGCAGTTGTTGAGTTAAGAACACACAGTTGTTAAGTGAATCTGGCTTCCCTATTGACTTCGTTTGTCAGAAGGTGCAAAAGGCGATCACATGACTTTGGGATACGGTGACCGTCATAAGTGTGAATCAGGGGCCAAGCTGAGTCTTGACCATGTGACCATGGGAATGCTGCAAATGTTGTTAAGTGTGGAAAAGCAGTCACAAGTCACAACTTCAAGCGGTCACTAAATGAATTGTTGTAAGTCAAGGACTGCCTTTATATACCACCCATTCTACTATCCGAAACGACTTTGGCAGCTTACAATACAATAAAAATATAAGAATATTTACATTTTAAATAGAAAAGCAATTTTAAAATGACAAAAATTGAAGGATTCTTATTAAAGAATGTAAGAGTTGTTGGATAGAGAGATTGATTTAATCAATGAACAGATGCATATACACAAACATGTCCTTTTTCCAGATGAGGAGATAGATCTAAAAGATAGATGTCCACAGCCAGGTACATGATTACTCAGATAAGGTTTTTCAGTCTCATCCAAACGCACAAGTCACCAGGAATTAGTTTTTCGTAATGAAATATTAACTGACCCTCATTGCTAACCAATAATCTAACCAAGGACACACAGCACTAATGGTAAACGGCCTTGTAAAACAAACCAATGAGCTTCTAGGTAAGGATAATGCTTCTGGATGGTTGGAATGGAAGAGAGAATATTTACAATATCCATAAATCAAGGTTCATTCTCTGTGGAAAAGTAAACTCATGAGGTGGAATGAGCAGTTTTGTTTTGTTTTCTTTAACTCCTGGGATTTAGAGTTTTGGTGGTATCTATAGAGGATTAAAACAGTTCTAATCTCTCCTTCATTGGAATAACAGAATAACAGATTTGGATGTGGCCTTGGAGGTCTTCTAGTCCAGGGGAAGGCCACCTTGGCTCTTTTATGACTTGTGGACTTCAACTCCCAGAATTCTTGAGCCAGCATGGCTCAGCTTGGAAACCTCTCCCTTTCCCCTCAGCGTGGCTGGCTCAGGAATTCTGGGAGTTGAAGTCCACGAGTCATAAAAGAGCCAAGGTTGCCTACCCCCTGTTCTAGTCGAACCCCCTACTCAAGCAGGAAACCCTGTACCCAGTGCTTTTTTTGTCATAGAACGCACCGGAACAGAGTTCCGGCACCTTTTTTCGATAGATTTTCCAAGTTTTAAAAGTAACTTTTGAAAATTTGATGTTTGGTCCACGTGACTTGAATTGCCCTGTCGAACGTAGCAGGTCGGCGGCAAAATCATTAAAATGGTGCATGCGGGCTGCTTGTGTGTCGAGTCCGATGCATGCGTACTTCGTCCGCGCTGATTGTGATGCGCTGCTTGGCTTGTGGCACTGCTCGGCTTGTGATTGGTTGTGCGGTCACGCGCCGAGTGCTTATTGCAGGTGGCAACCGTTATGTTTCATTACATAACTGATGTGTGTGTGTGTGTGTACATTGATTGACTATGTACAAAAGGTAAATTATTTAAAAAAAAATGGTGAATTGAAAATCTTTTTTAAAAAATTTTTAGTGTAAAAGTGTGACCCCAAATTTAAAAATGAAAAAAGTTGTTAATTACTTCTCAACCAACGGCCCTGATAGAATATTAACAGACGCAACAACAGAACACACAAAAATAACCATGCCCAGCACTTTTGTTCATTAAACTTGTCGGGACCACCTCTGAGACTTTTCAATCCTTCAAAGTACGTCGATCTGTGGTTACTCAGAGGACAACATTCAGCCATAAATACTAACAGCCAGGAAAGGAGTCGAGAAGATTTGCCAGACGAGAACTGGACCAAACTTTGGAATTTACTATGAACATCTTCCTTAAATACA